ATCAGAAGCATGATCAACTTGATACCTTTTTGAGAGTCGACTTTATGCTGGAGTTTCATACCCTCTAGCTGCATGCAGCGCCCACCAGAAATCCTCAGATTACTGTGTGATAGAATCTCCTGGAGGCCCAACTTCCATCTCCCAAGGACTGGGATTTCTCCACCGCTTCTTCAGGACATGGAGCCTTTGACCCTGCCTTTGAGGGCACCAAGCCTTTCGAGTACAAAGGCGACGTCGACGCCTTTCATCGACGCAACGATTTCGTCGCTTCTTCTGAACGGGGAGAGAAGACATGTCACTCTTCACGGGTCGCCATTCGGGTCGCCATTCGGGTCGCCATCATGACGCCACGAGTGCACTGAGAGGTGGTTGGGTCAAGCAGCTCTTGGTGGATCCGTTCGGCTAGAGGTGTTTGTTATTGTTTGTTGTTTCTGTTTCAATATTAATAAAACAGTATAAAGTATAGTGTTGTACAGTAATTATATAGAATCTCTTGTTATTCTTGTCCAACACTTCGTGACTTTGTTGGTATGTGGTGGTTGTTTCTCACTTCACGCAAAATGGATCAAAATGGCCAACCACCAACACGTGCAAAGGCGGTTTTGCACTAAATCAATCTAAATCAGTGAGAGTCACAGAGAGTCCTGGATGTGGGAATGCGCACATAGAGTCCCGTTTCTTCAACATGATTTCGACGTTCACGCCCAGACGGCGCCAGGGAAGGTCTACACCATGGCACCCAACGGGGTGCTTTTCGACCCGCCCAATCAGGCGGAAAAACTGCCGGTACGGGGACTGCTGAGATCGTTTTGATGTTTTGTATATATATGTTGCGGTGTGTGTTTGGAACATGAGGACCCAATGCGCTTTCCTGAGTCTATGTTTAGCCTATTCCGAGAAATCTTTTTGGGGGGAGTGCTTATTCTATAATGGGATTGTATATAGCGTGTGGGTGAATACGAAGCCCGGGGCCCACAAGCTAGTAGGCAAGTTGCCACGTAGTAGGCACATGACGTGAAGCAAAAGAGATGGTTGATCGGAACCATGGAGTCTATTCTTGATTCATTTTCCTCGGTCATGTCCCTGTTTTCATCGGTTTTGGTCTCAAGCTTTGGGGCCCGGAGTATCCGATGTCAAGGGGGCACCCTATAGTGCTTTTGCATATCAAAGCGAGGAGAAACACATGCTTTCATCATCCATCCATAGTCCTTCCTTTCTTTGCTGAAAGGTGAAGGGAAGTGAATGAATTGCTGTCACCCGATGAGCACATGCTTCCCACATGTATACATTTGGTCAATTTTGCTCATACAATAGGCAAGTTGCCATGATTTGGCATCTCTCTTGGCTCATATGCTATGGGAGCACGGATTCTTCTTTCTTCAAAATGACGATTGGACTCGCGCGATGGACACGGTCCTGTGAGGTGCCCATGGGCATTTGGAATCCCGACACGCAGCGTATGGATGCCCGTTTGGGCTACCGCTGTTTGCCCGGATTCTGCATGGATGCCGTTTCGAGGGTTTTGGCCATACTGGATAAGCGATTGATTTACATAAGATCATTTGTGATAGAACGTGCAATAGTACCTCGTGTTTGGAAACGGCGAGTTCTTTAGCAACAGAATGCAATATCTTTGTTTTCAGGAGAATGCAATGTTGCGCGTTGGTCAGAAACGGTGCTTGCAACTATGTCACCATTTCGATCCTTTAACTACGTTTGCAGCACCAGAAAGGATGTTTCCCCAGTCCCATTTGGAAAACCAATTGTTTCTGTGTGTTTCTGGGAAACCTGGGCAGACCCTCAAGGGGACCCCGACCAAGGCCTAGACCCCGCCGCTGGCATGATGCCGGGCTGTCCCTACCCGGTGCGCCGACCATGCCGTCGGGAGGATCTCCCGCTTGACTGGGTGACACGTCCCGGAAAAAGAAACACGTGAGACATGTCGGACATGGTGATGATGAAAACACCTTTGATGAACACACCATGTGGTGTGTATGTACCAGTTGGAGATACATCGCTTGTTGCCTCGGGTCTGATCGGGTCTTGACACACACGCAGTTGTCTCAGAGAATTAGATCGCCTTAGTAATTAGGGGACCTGACACTGAGTAGATCGCGTAGTTGCATAGTTCAACCATCTCAGACGAAGATGCTGTTTCACCAAATGGTTTTGTGCCATCCAGACCCATCTATTCTAAAGTCAGCATAATTTCAATGCTTTAGGACATGGTGAACTACGTCTATATAATTATTATGGTGGTATGCCTCCTAAATCCGGCCATTAAGCCACCCTGGCCCAGCAGCTGTGACTGGAGGAAGTGCTAAGTGCCAGAATCCATGATGTTCTGTTGATGCTGATTGAAACTTGAGTGGCTTGATTCGGCTTGAATGGTTCTTTCTCAGAGGTACCCAATATCAACCCCTGCATACCCCCGCCGAAGCATCAGGATCCATTGCTTCAAGCAGGTCCAATGTTTCCACAAACTTGTGCTGTTTCATGGTGAAAGTGTAGGGAGACCTTTTCTTTGTTGACCGGGAGACTCGCTTGGAAGGAAGGGTGTGAGGCATCAATAGACAACCCCAACGAGAAAGAGCCACGCTTTTGTGCACCACCCGCGCAAAACCGGCGGCTGCATGTTGGAAGTTTAGACGCACGACAAGCACGCTGTAGTGTGAACTGACGCCCCACTACCTGCGACGCCAGGCAATTTCCTATTTGGGCCGAACCTACATTTTGCTTCCCGACCAACGCTTGTGACTTTGGCTGCGCACAAAGCTTTTGACTGGGCAACATCCAGTTATCAAGTGATCGGTTAACTGAACGTTCCAAGTACAGTCGATGAGCATGTTTGGTTTTAACCGACTGATTGGCCAGTTGGCCAAAAGTTGTGCACTTTTGATGACACAAAGTGGTTTGACTCCAATACCTGTTTGATGATTCCCTTTGGTTCCAAGACCAATGCTCCAGCCACCCTTAGTGCCCAATTCGGGTGGGCCAACCACTGAAGTCACTGGGAACACCAGCTTGACAGTTAGTTTTACCAAGACTCAAACATGAATCAACGAGGAAGCCCGGAAGCTTTCTAGTGCAATTGGTGCTTCCAGTGTCGTTGGAGTCATCGAAAGCTATGTATCATCACTCTTTCTTCGACCCTCGACCTGACCCGAATGCAATAGGTGAGCTATGGTGAATCTTCAATGGCACCATTTTTAGGTCAAGACCCACCTGGGGAACCTGTGGGTCAGGTTGCTGTTTTGTTTCAGTCATTTTTCCACAAGGTCACTGGCTTGGAGGATTTGCATCGATGTTCGTGCCTTGCTGTGGCTCTTCTCACTACGTACACTGAGTGGGTCCAACCGAGTTCATCTTAATTAAGGTTGGACCCCGAGACCGAACAGGCGAACTGGGACGGGTGAATTCCGCGGAGGGGGTCAGACTGCACGGTCCAAAGACCCTCCCCATCCAAGTCTTCCTGGACACAGGCTGTTCATGTCAAGTTCTGTGGAGAATCAAATTGAAGCTACATCGTTTGCAAGGACTTCACCGAAGTCTAGCGTCCGTATAGGGTCCATGCACCATTTGTTTCATGTTCCTTTACAAAGCTTTGCAGACCACCTGCGGGCTCCATCATTCAGCTATCCCGATCCAAAATCAATCACCCACCACTCCGAGTTGAAGGTGCCTCCTCTCGTCACATGTCGCAACTCAGGATCACCCTCATGTCGGTCACTGAACTCTGTGTCCGTGTCCGTCAAGACCACGGCCGGCACCATCTCGTCTTCGCGCAGATCGTGGGCACCTTCAACCGTGAGACGAATGAGATGGACTTGACCGACCCAAAGCTTCTCCAAGAGGCCGGATCGGGCATGCCCGGAATGAGATCAGCTGGTCCATCATTTGAGATCGGGCCATGCGTGGTCGATCGAATGTCTCCAGAGTGCTAGATGAGTCATACACATCGGAAAGAAGACCAGATTGAACTCTGGTTTGGGGTGATTGCAATCCTCACCCCAAAACACTTAGGGGTGCCCTAGTAAAAATCTCACTTACGTGGCAATACCTTGACCTTCTGAGGTTGAGTTTCGACCCACCTGTGAAATCACTTAGCGGCGCCCCCAATCCGCTGTTCATTCAGGGTGATAAAGAGCCCGATGCTCTGCAGGTGAGACAAACGATGCAAGGGGCATTGACGCCAGCAAATCTCCATTATGTTTTTTTGGTTTGAAGTTGCAGGTTCTACTTGAAAGTCTGAACATAAGCAATTTGTTCAAAAAAAGAACGCAACCTACCCATGCACACACCAACTTGCGGACACGTCCAAGTCACACCCCTAACAGCCCTTCCACTTCGTGGGGTACTCTAGGGTGAAGATGTACACAGACAAATATGGTAACAAAAACATGCACAAACTACCAGAATCATGTCCTTGGAGGCAGCCGTTGCCCATGAGGGTCCATGGTGCATCCGTCGTGCGGGATAATCGTGTGGCTTCACCGATGTACGGCTCAAGCTGCTGATGTTCTCAGCAGACAGAGCCATTTCAAGCTGAGAAGATGTGGAGTTGGACCAAGCAGTGGATCCACCAGGTGTACCTGAATCATCCTGAATCTTGCGCCCGGACCGCCCCGATTCTTCAACATGCAGACGAAAAGACACATCTCTTGAAGCGATGGGGATGGGCACACATTCTCCGGTCAACCCAAGTGCTTTTCCTATCCCAGCAGCCTCCAGAATACTGCTGAACAAGTTGCAAACAACTCGCACTGAAAAACAAGAAAGCGTGAAAGAAGAGAGTCCAATACTGTTTAAGTCTATATAATGTCATTAGAATATGTGCTGTTCAGACGTGAGAAAAACACACATGCAAAAGTGTAGAGCATCTCCATCCAAACTCCCACACCATCCCAGCTTTGCAAACGCAGACTGAAAGCAGACGGGTATAGACTTGCCAAGACAGGACACCCTTAAATTCAGGGTGTCCAATCAATTGCACGCCTGCCATGGCGGACATTGACAAGGAGATCTTTCATGACCGTCACTTTGAGGCCGCCGACAGTCCAAAGAGCCACGGTCCAGTTGGTTTGAAATGACATGGACCCACCGGTTGGCCCCTTAAATTGCATAAAATCGGCAAGTGTTTTTGTTTTTTTCCCCTGAGGGCGAAGATGGAGTGAGCAGACCATGTTTTGGTGTATCTGTATATATCATTGAATGAGTCAAGCTGAGGAGAGGACAGGTGCAGCAGCGAACTAGTCCCGGTCGTTGGGTTGCCTTTCTGGTTTGCGAAAGAAAACACATATAAACATCCTAACAAATATACAAATCATGAATCCTCGAACATCAATGAATTCATTAGGCACCTTCTTGGTCTGGGTCCCAGACATGTGAGGCCTTGGCCGCCTTGGAGATGAAGCCCAAGGAATTGGCTCCGAATCTGGAGAAATTGGAGAAATTGGAGAAGGGGAAATCATGGGAAATCCACAGATCCAATTGTGGAGAGTCTGGACGGCAAAAGATTCCTCAATATTCCTCATGTTTTTGTTCTACATGGTCGTTGTAAACTTCGAGGATGGGGGAGAGTAGCTGGCCAAAGAACAGTGTTTGATTATGTGCGAGCTGCGCGGAAAGTTGTTAAGTGAGACTTGGGGTATTGGGAAGAACAGTCCTTCCAGTCTTTCCAAATTAAATGAAACATATTCTTGCCCAGATGGGATCTAGATGGATCTAGGTCTAAAAGGTGCACTATGAGCAGACCACCTCTCACGTTTGCGCGCATTCAATATATTTCACATTGTTTAACCATTTGGAATGTCGCTGTCTTTCTCTGATCTCCAAAAAGACGCCTCTGATCACCATCGCCATCCACCGTCCCATTCTGCCAACGTGGCGCCTTCGACCGGAACACGCGAAGACTTGCGCTGGCAGGACTTCACGCAGCAGGTCGAGCTGCATTTGCCGGGCTACACCGTGGCTGGGACTTGAAAGGGTGACTGATGTATACTAGGAACAAGGACGCTACTAGGGGCTCCTGGCATCGCTACTAGGAGCAAGAACGCTACTAGGGGCTCCTGGCCGTACTACTAGGAGCAAGGACGCTACTAGGGGCTCCTGGTATTAATAGTAGGAGCAAGGAGCTCCTGGCCTTACTACTAGGAGCAAGGACGCTACTAGTAACAAGAAGCTAACATCCTGATCATCTCGGCGTTTGATCTATCTCCCGTGGCCTGTTTGGCCCGGACAGACGGTCTTTATAGGCTGAGCGAACACTGGAAACCTCATGGTGTTTCCTTTGGATCTAGGTCACCAAAACCGAATGGTTTCTAGCAGGGGGGTCTTCAAGTTTGTCCTCGATAAGGGAGGTTGTTGCAGTTCGTCGTCCTACTACTCGTGTTGCTGCGGAACAGCTTAGGATGCTTAGGACTCTGATAGTCACAACCATCCTACCTTTCAAGGGCCACATTGAGACCAGAGGCGTTTACTTGCCAGTTGAGTCAATGCATGTGAATGAATGATTTCCGGTTCCAGGCATGGCCTTTTCATGTTGTGTCTGATTTCCACCATTCGGCTTTGCCTCTGCCTGTGGGGTTTGTTCCAGTCCCAGCAAAGCCTTCACCTGTGCCTGCCTGTCCCGGACAAAATCCTCCTCCCAGCAAGGCGTTGCCAATCTTGTATGAAATACCAATGCACCGGGTCTTCACTGATTCCAAGACAGTCCACCAGGCTCTCTTGTCCATCAACCATATGCTACTTCTACTCCTTCTACGGGTGTAGAAGCGTCAAGTCCGCTCGTGTGTCACTTCCCCGCAGGAAAAGAAGCGCCTTCTTGATGGCCTCAAGGCAGCAGATGCGATGCGCTGACGAGTCCCAACTCCAATGTGAGAATCAAATTGACGCACCAGGCATCTGCTTTTAGCTCCAAATCCTACGCAACAACTGGAGCAAACCCTTGGCGCTGGAAAGAATTGGCATGAGATGGCAGCTGCTCAAATCAAGGGGTGCTTTGTTCTCTCTTCAGGCAACGTTACATAATATGAGGTTTTGTGTATTAGCAATAAAGTACGTAGCAGCACCTCTTGCGATCGCAGCCCTGTGTAGGAAAAGAGTTCTGCCACCATGTTTTTGGCCAAGCAGCTCGCTGCTTGGCCAACTCGGTAGAGCAGAGCAATACCCTCCCCCCAACGGAACATGGCCCAACCAGGAAGCTCTACCGAGAGGTGATTTTCCAGCTCCTTGATTGTGTTTTTCATCGGACGTTGTCGGATTATGTCGGATTGGATCTGCTTCGGCTGAGCACTGGGACCTGCTGAGCAGGACTTTTTGACCAAAGTGACGGCCGTTGAGGAGAAGCTTTACATGGCCACTGGGATCATGCTAAGACCGCTCAGGTGGCAGGGGGAATAATACCTAGTTCATCCAAATCTTACAAAAGGCATGGAAAGGCTTGTCAGGTCCTTCAGACCAAGTTTTTACCGAATCTTGCCGCACCAATCCGGGTGCGCTGCATAGGCTGAGGTAGGCCTTTGTGACGAACCAACCTCCTTCATCCTCCAAAGAAACAAGCTTCCAAGATAATCTAATTGTATCGAATGACTTATATTATATATACATCTATGAAGTTCAATACATGCTACAGGGCTACAGGGTTTCACTCCTTTTGTTTTATTTTGGGGTAATTTCCAGTTGCTTGGAGTAGTCTCATTTTGCCCACAGCCAATCAAGCTTCAAGATCATTTTCCCAAACTCCACCAGTACCCCTGGACTTTCCTCCTGCGCAAAGGTAAGTACTCCTACTAATTCCAGAACTCAAAAGAATAAAACAAAAAACCATTGAACTATAGTATATTACAAAAATTATGTCATAGAACCGACTACCCCACAACTCCGATGCCTAGGTCGACAAATTGGGCATCCCCTTCGCTCAGAAAAAAAAGAAAATCACCCTCATGGTCTCAAGTTGATTGATCTGATAAAAAAGGGAGAACATGACATAGAAGAATACATACATTCAGCAAACATGCTTGCTCTCTAGAGCTTGTTCCAGGGATTACAAAGTAGAGAGGCTCCGAAGCCCAATGCTCACCTTCATCAGCGATCCCTCTAGGAATCTTGATGTTCGTTGTGGCTGGACCATGGAGTAGAAGGTAGAGCAACATCCGTGCAATCTCCGAATCCTACATGAAGTGTGTCTATTGTCAGCTCATGTCAGGTCTAAGTATTATAATCTATATAATAGTCATATCTAGTCCGTTGCCAAAGGCCGTTCAGATGTCTTTCAGCCACCCCAGTTTCGGCCTTCGGCCTTCGGCCTGCGGTGAGTCTTGAGATCTGAGACTGTCCTTTTTCCGAGATCGTGAGGTGAAAGCCGTGGGAAAGGTGAAGGGCAAGATGGAAGATGAGGACTCACCGTAAGCTGAAGATTCGGATGAAGGGCCGGTCCTACCGTGTCATAACGTTGAAAAGGTGAAACGTCGTCCAAAACGTCGTGTGGAGGCTACGTGTGTCCATGTGTGGATATGTGTGGCGCACGAAGCCAACCACGAGCCTGGCGGGACCAGACCGGTCGATCTCATCGATCTGTCCGTGCGGATGCTGCGAACGGCTTGGTCTAGCGCCCCCTTTCTCGGAGCCTCGACCCTCGTATCTTGGGTGAAAAGATCAAGCTTTCGGCTCAGATCTCAAAACAACGATTTTGAGATTCATGGCGTTTATGGGTATGGCCATCATCAGCATTCAGATCTTCCAGCTCTTGCCGTGTGTGCTGGCTTCTTGTTTCTCCGATGGGATCCCAGAAGAAGAGTGGCTCCGCGTGCAATTGGCAAAAGTCAGGGGGTCTCTCCAAACGATGTGGGTGGGCCCCAATGTAGGTGTTTAGACGACTGCAGATACTCGTCCCCAAAGATATTTAAAAGGGCTTTCCCTTTTCCACTTGCATGCGGGTGACCCTGAGCTGTCCCAGGTTTGCAGGAAAATGAGTCAATGACAGGGATCACAGTCCATCCGACCATATGCTATTTAGTTGGAGATGTTTGTCTGAAGTACGTAAGATTCTGGGCTTGGTAGATTTTCTCAATGACCCTGGGACAGGAAACGTAGGGAAACGTCACGTGTATGGTCATGTATGGTCAACCATGATTATATAGATGTTATTTTGCAAAAGCCGTCTTTCGCAGCTTGAACAACTACTTAAATCATAATCCACGATTGCATTGGACTTACCCAACAAACATGCAAGTGGATGGCATCACCCCTTGGTTTCGACTTTGTGTTTCACATCAACACCGTGTGAGACCCTTACAGTGAAGAGGCCCGTTGACTCCAAAATGGTCACATCAACCTCTGCACGCAGCCCGTTGAGGCGCAAAAACCTGGTGAATGACGATGGAGCGTCATACCCTGTTGGCCACTGGATCAATGCCTGGGAGGCTGGCTTCGCCACAGCCGAAGTGGCTGAGATTTTGCTGAAGGACACGGTCGCCGCAGGTGGCTTTCGTGCAAAGTAACACACTGTGCCAAGTCGTCGCCGTCGAAAGTACCCATCAGCCTAACAGGCTGATCTGATCGGGTTTGATCGCAGGAAAAGCTTGGCTACAACGTGACCAAAAAGGGGCCTGGTGCCAACACCGTGGATGGCTTTTATGCCATTGCCGGCTGCCACATGCCACAGAACATCACTGACCGCGGCTGTGGGCCCAGGATGAGGACCTACGTCCACTTTGCTGTGGAAGGATGGACTGCAGGTCGGGCGAGGGTCGGATGGTAGTTTACTGCAGATCGGGCAGTTTCGCAAACTGAAAGACGACCCAGTCCGACACGAAACTTTGACTTTCCTCGCTAGTAGGTTGGAGGCCATTGCTATTAGGGTGGAGGCCATTCTATAATTACAAACAGATTGGAGGCCATCGCTACTAGGGTGGAGGCCATCGCTGGGTTTGAAGGTGCAGTAAGTCTTCAGCTCTTTGTGGCTCTCAGGCTATCCACAGGTTTGGGATGAGATTCAGGAAGCTTATCCAGCAACAGCTCCAAGGAATCCGCGGATGT